TCGGCAGCGCCCGCTCCGTCTCGCCCGGTGCCCGAGCTCGTACGGAATGTCCCGTGGTGTCGGTCCCGGTCCCGCGGCGCCGCCCAGCTCTCCGTGCGCCCGCACCGGGGGCGGGAGGAGGATGCGGCGGGACTGCCCCGCGGGTCCRACACAGCTCGACGGGGGCCGGGACAGGGGTCGGGCAGAAGCCGGACGCACCCGGGCACGGAACATCGCACCTTAAGGGGAAGAAGAGACAGAGAAAGAGAGAGAAAGCTCTCAGACGTCCTGCCCCATCAGGTAGAACGGTTATAAAACTTTATGGTTCATCTGTTGTCTGTGGGGTTTCAGGTACAATATATGTGGGCCTGCCATGGGGATAACTCCTAAGTGTCAGATAASTGTGACAGCTGTGAGAGTTGTAACTCTGAGTAGTAACTCTGAGTAGTAACTCTCTAATTTCTTCCTGGGAGATCCAATTCTTGTYAGGGTTCTGAAGATGAATTTGCCAATAASATGCATTGCATGTAGGCCATGTATAATACCCTTTTTTCCTGCACTCACCACATGTTTTGTTGTCATGTCAGGGTGTGATCCATTCCACCAAGAAGGGAATGTTGYATTCAATAACTCACACATTTCTTCCCACCCTCCCGGGGGTATTCCAATTAAGCATGTTCAGAAAGGATTATTAGCTGATAGCATACTSAAACAGAATTCAGTAACACTTGACTTGTTAGCCCATGTGATCCACATATTTTCTTGGGGATTGACTCTTAAAATGGCCTCACTTTCTATGCAAAGCATTASTAATACAATTGCAAAGAGCCATTTAACAGCTCCATATTGTCTGTCATTGCACAGTCAACTGTGGATCCCTGCATAAAATCTTTGGAAATTGGCTCTACCCATGCAAACCTTCACATCAGTATTGCTCTGGTCATAATTGATGATCTGTATTGCAAAAATGCACTGTGAACATTGCACTACTTACTTTTTCTCTGTTTAGGGCCATATCCATACTCCCCTCTTTTGTTTTTAATGCTATGTTCTTCTTTGTATAAACATGTACAGCAAAGCACAACAATACAGGCAACGAACTAATAAGTTGACCATGTGCTTAGCATTAGCATTCAGCAAAACCAAGYAAGGTAATACATGTAATCAGTAGGACACCAGTGAAAGGATAATGATTTCAAAAGATGCGTTATCAACTACCTAAAATATTTCTTTATTTCCCAGGGTCTGCAGTAGGTGGCTCGCCTCATTTCACAGGGACGACTCAGAAAACCTTTCCCGGGTAAGGTTTCTAAGTTTACTCTGCAGAGGTTCCAGCTTTGATCGCCCCAAATCGCCAAGTCAAAGTGACTTGATTAAATTTTTTAGTGCAGAAATATCTGCGTTTGTTGGCATATTTCCCCACCATCTAGGGCTAGGGCTTTGCCAGAGCCCAGGCCTTAACTGGGAGGGAATCTCTACAATTCTACAGACAGCTTTTCTATTAAGTTTCTTAAAATAACAATAACAAATTTCTTATAGATAACTTCACAAGGCTATGCAAAAGTTTTTAAAACAGTTACTTAAACAAAATACAAACAATCCAAAGAGTGCATGTGAGAAACCTCTAATAATAGGTTCTGGAAAACACCCTTTTTAATAGATYTATGAATTAGTGTCATGACATTGACAATATATCAAAATCATTCACTTAGCAATAGTAACTTTTAAAGAAAACCTTTGAGATATAATTTCTCTATATATTTATGCAGATATAGCGGAGCAATAAAGAAAGCATTTAAACTTTAATATCACTTACACTTAACAGAACGTAACTTTACCTTTACTAAAACTTCACAGAAATTAAATCTGATAGCACTTCAACTGAGAAKACATGAAAGACCTTGACCTTAACAGAACTTAAATATAGTATTACTTAAAGGTAACAGAACGTAACTGYATTAGAACTTTAATCTTAACACTGCTTAAAAGTGACAGAATTTAAAATTCAGAAAGTGAACAGATATGAAAATGTATAGGCTTCACACTTAAAATTACTTACATTTAACAAAACTTTATTAACACTTAACACTTAATGGCATTTAACAGATACATTATAAATTGATTTAAACAGAATTTTTCATGAAACAATAGTGACTCAGTTATACACTTCAGTTACAAATCTCAAATACTTAAGTTAGAATAACATTCCCTATTTATTTGCTGCAGCAGTTTTACACACACACACACACACCCACACACACACACACACACACACACACACAGACACACACCCCCACACCCCCACATAGACACACCCCCCCCCACACACACCCACACACACAGAGACACACACACACACAGACAGACCCACACACGCAGACACACACACGCAGACACAGTGACACACACACTGACACACACACGCAGACACAGTGACACACACACTGAGACACACAGAGACACAGTGACACACACACTGACACACACAGAGACACAGTGACACACACACTGAGACACACACAGAGACACAGTGACACACACACTGACACACACAGAGACACAGTGACACACACACTGAGACACACACAGACACAGTGACACACACACTGACACACACAGAGACACAGTGACACACCCCCCCCCACACACCC